GATGTTACCTTCCCGTGTAGATGTTACCTTCATGTGTAGATGTTACCATCCCTTGTAGATGTTACCTTCATGGGTAGATGTTTCCTTCCCGTGTAGATCTTTCCTTCCAGTGTAGATCTTTCCTTCCCGTGTAGATGTTTCCTTCCCGTGTAGAACTTTCCTTCCAGTGTAGATGTTACCTTCCCATGTAGATGTTTCCTTCCTGTGTAGATGTTTCCTTCCTGTGTAGAWCTTTCCTTCCAGTGTAGATGTTACCTTCCCGTGTAGATGTTTCCTTCCCGTGTAGAACTTTCCTTCCAGTGTAGATGTTACCTTCCCGTGTAGATGTTTCCTTCCCGTGTAGATCTTTCCTTCCTGTGTGCTCACATGTTCTCATATGTTAATGTTCTGCTCTGACTCTTACTGTAGTAATCAGAGACTTGAAGAACTCCTCACAGTCTTTGTAAATGTGACACACAACAAGCAGCGACTCGTCAACAAGGACTAAATATCTCAGAGACGGAACCGACCGCCAAACATGACCGTAACGTGTTCAGACCTGAGAACGTACACAACATACAATGAGTACATTGACACTATCCTCTCTGTCACTCACCCCCTCCTGTCTCTCATCCGACTCTGACCCCCCCCCCCCCCCCAACACACACACACACACTCGCCATTATTATTACTATCTGTACAAAGGTAACTAAATGTGCTGAGCAGCATGAAGCTAAAGCTCAGTATTTAACACGCTTTATTTCATAGCAGTTTTCGGGCATAAAATAAACAAACAAAGAAGCATGATAACTAGTGAAAACATGATACAAGCCTTCCCACCTATGCATGATGAGCTCTAGGGTTGTTCCCAATTAATTCAATGAGCTGCAGTTCCCCAATTAGAAACTATTTATTTGTGAATTGTAGATAAAAAATAATCCAAGTTCTTTTTCTGAATGTGTCTGATTTCCTCCTCCACATGCAGGAAATGTAGTTGTATAAATATGAATTCTGCCCTTTGACACCGTGTGTGTTGTGTCCAGTCAGCTGATTAGTCGGCATGCATGAGGAAACGTTGACTTGGTCTATCTTAGAGACGACAAAATGTGAAAGTGAAGTAGTGGCGTAACAAAGGAAAGCTGATGAGAAGAGTACAAAGACGCAGATTTAAAGATTTGGCGCAATATTAAAAACTGTTTTTTGTGTGTTTATTTTAATAAAAAAAGGCTTGTTGACTCTATGAAATTCACTTTAGTGACATTCATCAGTGACCAGTTAAGGCGAAGGTTCAGGTATTTAAACTTTTACCCAAGTTTATTATTGTATTCTGCTGTATTGACATTAGAAGCATTGTGCTCTTACACCAACAACAAAACACTACAGATGATTGAATGTATTAGTAGTGTGCTTTATTGCTTCATAAGTGTCTCAGCAATACAAAGATTTCCTCAGGTTATGCTGAAATGTCCTGGAGGTCTACAGAGACCTCTGCTGGTAAAGTACTTCACTTACAGGAGAACATGTGATGAACTATATCAAAGGGTAGTGCCACATGGTATACAGAGCATCATTTTATCTTATTGATGTACTGTGCTACATAAACTGAACCGGCTGGTTCCCATAATATAATATATATGGATCTTATTCCCACGATATAAATGTACTTTGATCGTCCGTGTAATGCATCAGTATCAAACAAAGCTGACAACAAGCAACTGTGACATTAAACAGAAAACACAGATCATCTTCAATAGAATAGCTTGTATGTTACGTATGTTAGTTTAGAGAATATTTGAGATGAAACTGAAAGAGAAAAAGTGTCAATAACAAATCCATCTGCTGCATCAGCACCGTGGATCCATCAATCAGAACATTTAGTTCTTTTGATATTTCAGAGTCGTGTTCGGGGCCATAAATTGTAACCGGCACAAACATCAGTCAGATAAAGAAATTAATGAGTCACTAGGAAGTTCAACTAAACAAACCTTCTGCCCCTGCAGTCTCTCTCTACTCGGGCAGTGGTTCTCAACCTGGGGGTCAGGACACACAATAATATATATACTGTATATATATATATATATATATATATATAAACATATTAGGAATAAAATAACATATGTTAGACTGGGGAATATTTTTTAAACATACATCGCCTGTACCAGTGATATAACTTGCCCCAGAATAGATTGCATTGAGTGTAACCACACCCCCTAGTGCACCCTTGTTCAACAGAAACACAGCAAAAGGTGCCCTTCCAGTGGAGAAAACATGAGGAAGACAACACAACATGAAAGTTCCCCGTCATGACTTTAAGCACAAAAACGACTTGTTTCAGGCTAGGGAACAGTTGTGGTCATGGTTAAAAAAGAATACAAGATGTATATGTGTCTGATGTGATATTCTCTAGTTTTCACCTGATGTACCTTGCTTCTCACTCTCTCTTCCCCAGTCACCACCACTTCATGCTGGCATGCTTAGAGATGTATGCAACCTTAATAAAACACCATCCAGGGAGCTGATGGAGGAGCACCTTCACAGACCATGCAGTATTTCTGAAGGTCATTGTTTTGTCGTACAGTTTGCGGAACAAATATTATTTCATAACCCTCAAGGTGACATTTGAATTGGCTCAATGGAAAACATTATCAGCTTCTTTTGTTCTTTCAATCTAAGATCAACACAGTTCACTCTGCAAACAGTGACGACTGGAATAAAACAGCAGCGTGAGCGTCAGTCTTGGTCGTGATGATGGTTCCTGCTCTGCTGTCTGCAGCTCTGCTGCTCCTGCAGCTTCCTGGGACTCTGACTCAAGGTAAGCTTCAGAATAAAACACAAGCTCGGAGCAGTTCTGTATTGTTTTACTGGATATCAACATGTGATATCTTCCGTCTGCTTCTATCTTCCTGGTCACCAATGGTTCAGCGAGGAAACCGGTTCCCATTGACGTGGTGGTGGAGAACAGCTTACTACAAACCAAACCTGTGACCTTCAGCACACATGTGGAGCAGAGAGGCATCCTGCTGGGTGCTCTGAAGACACTCAGCGCCTCCAATGCAAACTTCAAGTAAGGTCGTAACATCAGTCGTCACCTGAGAGTCACGAGTTTTTTTAAATAATATGGAACTTTATTTGCAAAATCAGCTTAAACTCTGCAATCGTGATTCTTTGGCATCTCACAAAATACTTCAATAAATTACATTTTTAATTCCTTCGAGATAATTTGTGCTCAGAGCAGGAAATGCTGCGTACAATCTCTTCAGCTTGTGTTAAACACAGACTTTATTTCAGACATCTAAACTAAAACACATTGAAGTGTGGATGTTTTTAGTTCTTCCAATTCGCCGGATGAGAATTAAGAGAATCATTTTGTCCTGATAAAAGCAACCTGCCACCTGATGACAACCAGCTGTTGCCCACATTGAAAGTAACGTGTTGGGTCCTTCGTTCCTGCAGGTTCACCTACAGAGAGGATCCAAACTACGGTCCGTACTTGGAGAGCGTGAACGGAGTGGCTGGAATCGATGCAGACCACACATACTGGGAGCTGCTGGTCGAGACTCCAGACGGCAAAACCATCAAACCTGACGTTGGTGAGTCCTCCGAGCAGACGTCTGTCAGTCGGTCTCTTCTGTTGTAATCTTCCTGTAAACCAAATTATAATAAACGACATGGCTCCTTTTACTTTTTGTTTGCAGGTATTGGATGTTACATTCCCAGCGCACATCAGCGAATCATCCTGAGATTTACAAAATGGTGAAGAGTCAGTCGACTGTTTGATGATGAACAACCACTCAACATGAATCTGTGTTTGATGTTGAGCAACAATGTCATCTTAATAAAATAGTCTTCCATGTGTTGATTTCATTGGTTTTTCCAACATAAGTGAATAAACAGCTGATATTATTGTTGGGTTTTTAAATGTTTGATATCTAATGTGTTTCAGCCAGCGTTTCATTTAATGTCTAAGAAGGTACTTCTCATTTTCAGTGTGTTTTTCTACGATTCCAGCTCTGTCTTTACAGGAAACAACTTATTTAGGTTTAGACAACAAAACTAAGTAACAGTCTAAGTAGTGTGACAGAAGGACAATCAACTTTTTAATTGCACATCCCATGCAGCTTGATATGTATGAAGTCATTATTCTGTTCCTTTTGATCTCATTTATTGATATATTACACTACTTTTGTGCAAGCACTAAAACTATTTAACAGTGGTTAACATGAGTGAAGGAATGGTTTCATCAGAGAATTCAAGAATTTCAACAATCGGACTTCAACTTTCCAGCTTTAAGGCCAAATGATGCCTTTAAACAGTGCTTTGGGACACATTTTAACCCCTATTAAATAAAGCTGACTTTGTTTCTGTATATTTTGATATGAAACACTCGGGTGTCAGGTTATAAGAAAAAATATATATTAAACAGTGCCTTTAGGAAAATATGCAAAAACAGAGAAAATGACCGTAGACCTGAGAGAAACAGAAATGAAATTGCGTGTAAGGGGCTGAGGTCCAGGGTAGTTAGATGACTCTTCATTCTGACCAGAGGGCTCCATCCACTCCTCAGGAGAGCAGTGGGATCAGGTGAGGCAAGAGACACACCTGGAGCTGATCTATCATCAGGGAGACGAATAAATGTGAATGAAATCACCTCGATCCATACGGCTAAATAGCACTAGAGGTAAGAGACAAAGTATGTTTGTTTATTTAAGTGAACCGACACTTTAAAAACACCGGCAATGCTGCAGATGTTTTGGCTTTTTAAACGTGTTGGAATCACAAATTAATCAGTAAAAGTAAGAGGAACTGAACATATTCATACTTTTAAATATTTACAACTTTGACTTCAGGTCCTGACACGTCTTTAAAGGCTCCTCATCGTATCTCTGCACAGCCTCTAGAGGGACTCCTTTAAGGACCAGGAGGGTTGGTTTGTGATGATTTTAATCAACTTCATGAACATTCAGAACTCCCCTTCTGGAACAACTGTACATTTAAAGGAAGATACTTTTCTTCTTGACAAAATCTAAACTTAATATAAACTTTTAGGGAGAATAATCAGATTGTAGGCTACAAATAATGAAAAACACATTTGTTTGTGTCATTTGAACACAAGGTTGACAGATGTTTGGATAAATCTACGATCACCTCATGTAAAAAACGGATCCCTTTACCAGCCAATTAATTAACAGATTTCATGCTGTAAAGAAGATTTTTATTCAAACAAAGCATGTTAAAGGAACAGTACTATGTAATCACACACCCAAAGTAATATGAAGAAATCATCATGAGGAAGTATCAAGCAGGACATGTAAGGTGGCGGTGGATTCCCTGAGATAATCATTCAAAATCAAAGTAAAGTCAGTTGTTTCCTCGTTCCTTGTTCCTTCCTGCATGTGTATTTATCACACTGTTTGGATTAGATAGGACACAAATGGGCTTCAGTTCATCTTTGAAAAACACAATCATACAGGTTTCTGGCTTTGATCCCATGTTGGCTCCCAGCGGCTGTTGATCCTTTAGTACTTGTTAAAGTTCAGGACGATTGTTTCGTTTGCACGCGGAATGTAACACCCGATACCTGCACACAAGAAAACAAGATTATAGTCTGATTTACAGGAAGGACGACTGTAAAAAAAGACAGAGGTTGACTCACCGACATCCGGCCTGATGGTCTCGTTAGTTCTCTTGACCAGCAGCTCCCAGTAGGTTCGATCAGCCGAACATCCGGACACGCCGTTCACACTCTCCAGGAACGGGCCGTAGTTTGCATCCTGTGTGTATGTGAAACTGCAAGGACGACGGGAGGTGGTATTTAAAAAAACATTGCCATTCAGACACGTGACTTTTACGTCAATGTTCCTCGCGGCTTCACTCATTTATGTATGATGTGATGATCTCATACCTGAAGCCTACATCTGAGTTCTGCAGTCTCCACATTGCACCCAGTAGGATTCCTCTGTAAACCACATAGGTGGAGTAGGTCTGATTGGGAGCGTTGGTCACAGAGTTTGTAATGTGGATACTGATAGGAGTCTGATTAGAATCTGAAGATAAAGAGTGAATAATCAAGTGTTTAATAAGCAGGCCAAACAATATCCTATAACTGCAATAACATATGATTCTCGATAGCTGGGGACATCTTTGAGTTTTAATAAAAAACGTTTTGAAGCTTACTTTCAGCTGGAGCTCCAGGAAGCAGCAGCAGCAGCAGGGCTGCAGAGAGGAGAGCGGGAGTCATCATTCTACTGAACACCAGACTGACCTGTTAGCTGCAGAGGAATAAAACAAATCAGCCTTAAAGAAGTTGCTAAGATCTTTTACAAAAGCAGGAAAAATGCTTCCTTAGTTTAGCACAAGTTATTACGAGATTTTACATTTTACAACCAGTTTCCATCTACGTCTCAGTACAGGACTTTAATCCTTCAGCTGGAAACTCTCCTGTCTTTGAAACGTTTTACTGCTAATAGTAAAAGTAAAATGTGTGAACCTTTTAACTGCATGCCCGACCATCAGAGCCATCGACAGTATGATCTTTTCCTCCCCACTCTAACCAGTAACTGACCTGTAAGGGTGCGAGAGATCTGATGGGAAGTCCTTCCTCCTTCAGTTAGCTCAGCTCCTGTTGTCCGGACTCCTGCTCAGTTGCTTTATAGCTCTGAAACAACCAGTCGTCACACATCAGGCTGATACCCAGCTGAGTCATTTAACATTCCAAAGTGTTCTCACAGTCACAGGATGACATGTGCAACAAAGCACACATGAAGCAACAGTGACACATCTTCCTCAAACGTCAAGAGAAGGAAGTTCACCCTTCGACTAAAGGACTCAACCGGTTTTATTCAGAGTAAGAACATGTTCATTCTGAACATGGTAAGAACAAGGTATTCTATGGTGATGCATTTTATGGTTCCCTCTATAGATCAGCCTTGGCTAAATATATATAATAATAATAAATTAATATTTATATAATATATATTAGTAATAGTGTTTGCCTTTTTGGTTTAGAGGGTATGATTTCAATTTGTCATATTTATTCTTATCAACCCAAGATGTTCCTCTTTGCTAGTGTTTTGGTACATTTTGTAAAAAATAAATAAGTTTAATAAAACCTTAAGTAAAGAGGTCAAAACGTACCACATGTACTTCCTTGTCATTTACAAGTGCCTTCATCATTTCAAGTGTTTATTGTAACAAAAGTAATGTTTTATTCAGCAATGATTTGGACATTTTGATGAGCAGGATCCTGCAAATGTAAACGCACATGTATGAAATTGCTTTGTGAGGGAATTGACTTTGCAGTTGTTACACAGGTTAGACCCAGTGCTGCCGTTACACAGGTTACACAGGTTACACCCAGTTCTGCCATTATACAGGTTACACAGGTCGGACCCAGTGCTGCCGTGACACAGGTTACACAGGTTACAGCCAGTGCTGCCGTGACACAGGTTACACAGGTTACAGCCAGTGCTGCCTTTGCATGCCATAGTAAAGTTTACCTGGACATTGAATGTGGAATTCACTAACAAGGACCACGCCAATAATAGTATGAGTTTCGAGAGGTTTATTGCATAGTGAAATGGTTGTTAGATTTAGGAAGCAGAAGGGGTCGAGGGATGGAGGGATGTCGGGTAGGGGTAGAGGGATGAAGGGTAGGGGTAGAGTTAGAGGGATGTAGGGTAGGGGTAGGGGTAGAGGGATGAAGGGATGTAGGGTAGGGGTAGAGGGATGAAGGGATGTAGGGTAGGGATCGAGGTAGTTGTGAAGGGATGTAGGGAGAGAGGGATGCAGCGATGTAGGGTAGGGATGGAGGTAGATGTATGAAAGGATGTAGGGTAGGGATGTAAGGTAGAAGAAACGAGGAGGGTTGTGAGTGTGTGTGAATCATTAGATCACTATATGAACCTTGTATGGAAGCCTCTGCCATCAGTGTATCAATGTGTTGAAATTACACGTTTCTGCCCTTACTTCCTGTAATTGAGCTTCTCAGAACAAAACAATCACTGCTGTTATTAATGTTATTAATTGCATTCAAATTAACGATATTAAATTGAGCATGAATTTATGCTAATTTTGCCTGTGGATTTAAAAAACAAATCCTCATCAAACTGAAATTAATTCTATATTTTAGATCCAAATATCAAACTCTTAAAACCATTTGAAATTGTTCCAATCAACAATAGTCTTATTACATATTATACTCATGATGTTCTGATGTTCATGCATCCTCTGGGTCTCTAAACTGCCACAATGGGGCAGCGCTGAGCTGCACAACAGGGAGGTTTTGTGCTTCTCGTTCTCACAGTTAAAGGAAAAAATCGAATCTAATCCACATAATATTATCATTATAACACTCTGCATCCTCTATTGCATTGAAGCGTCCCAGTAAGCCGTGTCAGCCTGCACATTACCACGGGTTTGGAACTGCTCCGTCATGCAACAAACCCAGATCACCTCCAGTCACGTCCTGGAACAACCTCAGCACTGGTGACCTGCACAGAGGTTTGAGGCCAAAATTAAATTGGATTTTTTAAATAAAAATGTATGAAAGAAAGGCGATGTATTCATCCTCACATCCTTCTGTAGCTGGAATTTCAATCAAACAAAAACAGGACTTTATTCCATGAACCCACACATTGCTCTCTACTTTTGTCTTTATTTCAGATTAATTTGCTGTCTCACAAAAATAAAATCTCCTAGACTACAATCATTTTGAAGTTCTACTTCATTTAACACCTTCATGTTATCAGCCCTTGCATTCCTTAACTATGAGGATAATTAAAGGTTCCCTCACAAAATGTTTACGGGCTTTAAAGAAAGAAAAACAACTGGAGAAAAGGAAAAATCATTTTGTGGAGTTTCCTCCTCAGTTGAAGAGTGAAGGACCGTAAAATGGATGTACTAAAGGAAGGAAGGAAGGAATAAAAAGGAGTGTAGAGGGGAGGAAAAAAGGAAATGTGGAAAATAGGAAAAAGGAAAGAGCAAAAAGAAAGAAGGAGAGATGAATGTAAGAACAAGGAAGCACAGAGAGAAGAAAAACACCCTCTGGAGTCTGATTAATGACGAGGAGCAGCTGAGGAGGCAGGGATCTGATGAGAGGGCTGATTAGAGAAGAGTCACAGGTGTGCAGGACTGAAGCACACCGAGGACACCTGGTGGACAGGTGAACGCAGGAGGAAGAAGAAGAGAGTGGAGCCACTGAGGCCATGGCAGGGTGAGGAGACATCCCTTTGTCACTGTTAGCTCTGTTAGCTGTTAGCACCGTTATCCGACATAGTCATAAATGATTATGTTTAATATGCAGTCTGCAGTTCCCCTCAGAGGATAAACTTTAGAAGGTGATCATCATAGACTGTAAAGAAGAGTTCTGCGTATCGGCAGCCACCATCTTAGTTTTTGCAACCAGAAATGACCCGAGAGGGTGGAGCTATGCACAACTGAACGCTGAGAAAGACATTTTTAGTCGACCAAAATGTTAACAATTAACTTTCATGAAAGGGTTAAAGTTGACAACGCCCTGGTAAAGACCTGTCAATCACTGTGTAGCCCCGCCCTAAAGCATCCCCTGCTTTATGGTCTATGTGACTCTAAATGGACCATAATGTACTAAATGAACATCATGCTGTATTGAAGAAGACTTGAAACTAGAGATTGAGACCATAAACTCATGTTTACAATGTTTACTGAGGTAATAAATCAAGAGAGAAGTAGAGTCATTTTCTCATAGACTTCTATACAACCAGAGGAGTCGCCCCCTGCTGGACACTAGAGAGAATGCAGGCTTAACACATGAAGCTTCGACTTCACTCTTAAGGACCGGAGGTCGCCGTCTGGTCTGTCTTAAATACTTTATTTGTATTTATTATTATTGAGTACTGTGTTATGTGATCTATATGTTACAAGTTAGTACTGCCGTCAACTTTCTGTGCAAGAGGGTAACTGATCCGTTGACCCAGCAGATGAACGTCACAGCTAATTATTAATATGCGCTGTAAACAAAATAAGTGAGCAAACATTTAATAGTGGATTTAGCTTGAAGGAGTCACGATGGCGTGATGAGACTCTGCAGGTCAACAAACGGGGACCTCGGCCTCCTTTTAAAAATCCAAAGCAATTATTGGAGAGCAGTGAATCTTTGCAATCTAATAGTGCTCTCTGTGTTCTTTTCCAGCTCTTAAAGTAATTCCTGATTGATCGCTAATTATCGGTGATGGGGCCCCTCGAGACAGCCCCCCTCCTTCCACTTCCTTTTCACGGCGTGAAAGCAGCTATAACTTTCAAACAGTCGACTCTGCTGCTTGTTCTGGCAGCTCAATAGTCTTCAAGACGTTTGAATAATCATGGTGGCCTCCCCCCTCCCACGACAACAATAAAGTTCTTTTGACTGCATCGTCATTTTCATACCAATCAGCATGTTGAACTTTCATCCTCAAGCCCAACAGGACATAAGTGCAGTTGTAGGCTACTTGTTAATGCTATCGACCGCGGCGTTGAGTCAAAATCGTCGCATTGATAACCTTGCAAACGACAGGAGCGTCTCTTAATAGCGCGCCGATTGATGTCGGCTGATCGGATGTGAATCACTCTTCGGACAGAAGCGCCAACAAAGAGCATCGTCGATGACAATGTGTTTATTTCCTTCTTTTCAAGGTTCGGATCAATCGAAGGGGGCTGGTTCTGTCTGGAGCTGCAGGATGCGGACTATAAAAGTGGAGGTGGTGTGTGTTGATGCTGCTCAGAGCTGCCGGTCTGACATGAGGAGCTGCAGTAGACGAGGAGGAGGCCCAACAAGTCCAGCAGGTAGGAGACGAGTTCAGTACCGCCGGTGAGAGTCATGGTGCATTTGTGATTAGAAAATGAGAGAACGATTAGCAGGATGAGCGTCAGGAAAGGGTCATTTAGAAGTGCAAGAGTTCTCCAGAGACAGTTTATATGAAGATCAACTGTCTCATTGATTAAAATGCTAAAACAGCTGAAAAAAGGCTTTCAACTCAGACATTCTGTATTAGTAAATATCTCCCCATATATCTTATTTTAATTGAATTTGTATCATTATTATTGTTAAGAGTTTATGCGTTTATGCTGGGACAACATTCCAAGAAAATCTTTGTTGTTTAATTTCTTGATTTGTTCTGTTTTGTTGTTTAAAGATAAAGTGGGGAAAAAGCAGTCAACTAATCAATAAGTTGATCCAGAGAAAATTAATCTGCAGCTGTTATAAAACGAATTTATCGGTCGAGTCATTTTTCACATAAAAATGTATGAAAATGTGCAGCTTTCCTTTGTCATAAATAATAATGAAAGAGTCATTCAAGAGATGTGGACTCAGGACTTGGACTCAAGTCCCACTTAAGTGACTATTACTGTTATAAACTGTCATTAGTAGAGTCAGTGTTATTACACACTAAAGTACTCTAACTGTTATTAAAAATAGGTTACGGTAATGCATGCCTAATAATTTAATGGACATTACCCTGAAAGACGTTACTCTGTATTCATTTTTAAGGGCAAAATACAGTTAAAGGAATGTTTTAATTGTGTTTTTATTTCATAGTGCATTAATGGTACTGCTAATAGATGAAAGAGTGATGATATAATTTAAATATATATAGACCGGCCCCATTGTCACCCATTTTGCATCCCTAAAAGTAATTGTTGGCTGCAGCTTTAAATGC